CTAGAGTTTTTCTGTTGGGAGGTTTTGTTTTGTTTTTAAATACCTACTCAGTTTCTTCTTTAGTTATAGGTCAGTTCAGATTTTCCATTTCAGTTCATGTTAGTGTAGGTAAGCACCATATTTCTAAAAGTTTGTCCGTTTCTTCCAAGCGTTCAAATGGTTTTGAGTACAGTTTTTCATACCATTCTGTTATCCTATTGTAATGACACTTATTTAATGCTTCAGAAAGGTCTTCTCGATAGATATTTTTGTCGCTTGGTTGAGCCACACTATCTTGTTTTTTTCCATGTACCTGGATTTGTCTGTTTTCCCTGCCCTTAGCAATGTTATGGGTTTTTTTAATTGGTAATCATGTTACTGTGATCTTAGGTGGTCACCACCTGCGCCCTGGTAGGTCTGGCTGAGAATGTCAGTGTTGTGAGTTCTTTGTCTCTACAGCATATATTCGAGGGTGGGTTCGGCTGAGGTTGACTATTGGTTATCAATGGCCAGGTGGTAGAGGAGTGGATAGTGGCCCTGACACAATGGATGTGATGTCAGAAGGTTTGGGTGTGGCTGAGCCATGTGGACCTTGTACCTGTCTTTTGTTTGATGGAACAAGAAAATAAACAAAACAATAACAAAAAGTTAAAAATAGGGTGGAAAACCAAGCAGGAAAAGCAGGCAAATAAAAGAAATAAAAATAAACTTAATAACTGAAATAGAAAAGAAGAAAAGAAATACAAGCATAAAAAAGGAAAAGATTAAAAATAAAGTCAACATAAGAGCTCACAACATAGGGAATCCAAAACAGATAAACCCTTCAGGACCAATAAGGGGAGCAGCGATACTAGGAGGGTAAGGGTACGGGGGTGGGGGTGGATAGTAAGGGGGAACCGATCACAATGATTGACATATGGCCCCCCTCCCAGGGGGACAGACAGAAGAAAATTTGGTGAAGGGAGACAGCAGTCAATGTAAGACATGAGAAAAAATAGCAGAATTTATAAATTATCAAGAGGACATGGGGGAGGGAGGATGGGGAAAGAAGGGGGGGGATGAGCTGATGCTGGAGGCTCAAGTAGAAAGAAAATGCTTTGAAAAAGATGACAACATACGTACGATGTGTTTGACACAATGAATATATGTATGGATTGTGATAAGAGCTGTATGAGCCCCCAATTAAAAAAAATATACCCCAAAACTGCATCCTAGAAAAAATAAAATCAACAAAACTAAGGTGGGGGGGAAGAAAAAACAAAGAATAAACTCACTTTGTCATCTTGTTGAAAGTTGGCCTGGAAGATAAGATGAATGAAAAATGAGGGAGAAGGGAGGGAGCAAAGAGAAACAAGTAAAAAAAGAAAGAATAAAAATGAAAGACATATAAGTAAAACAAATAATGGAGAAAACTTGGGCAGGGGCAGAGGCAGGACCCAGGGAGGAGAAAACTGTATAAGGGGGCCCATCTGCCAGCCCAGGAGCTCACAAGGCAGAGGTTGAGGGGCAGGAGGGTGGGAAGCCCAGCACTGGATTGAATTTCTGCCTGCCTAGCTATTGTATAAGATCAGCTACCTGATGCAAATGTAGTCTTTGCAGGTTCTGAGAGTGGTTGAGGTCAGGGTGCTGTTCTTGCACTGTGCAGGGCAGTTGAGGCAGAGTAGGAGCTTATGGGAGGAGTTCTTGCCCACCCAGAGTGGCCAAGGATAGGTCACTTGTTTGATATTCTGCTTTCTGCTCTTCTGATGAGGCACACTTTACTCATCTCCAGATAGGGGGTGCTTAATCCACAAGAGTGTGTCTCAAACATCAGGTAGGACACGGGCTGTGTGTAACAAGTGCTGGGTGGGTGACATTGGGATCTGACTGAGATAGTTAAAGTTTATTGTGCCAACCTGGCCAATAAACACATGTGGGGTTAATTGAAGGGCAGAGAGATAAATGGCTCCATGAGCCTTGCCTTTCTAGTTCTCGGGTCTCTTGCTTTCTGACAGTCAGACCATGGTGCATCTGCCTTAGCCAGTTCCCTGCTTCAGCTGGCAAGGCTCACTTCCTGCAAGACATCCCCAAGGAGAAGCCACATGGACCTACCCCAATGCAGCCCTGGGTGCTGGAGCTGCCAGCACCTCTGCCAGCACTGAGTTACATGCTTACATGCTCACTGATTTGGCTTTCCTCCTGCAGTCGGCATCATTGCGTGTGTTTCGTGAGATGGAGAAGGACATATGGGTTAATGTTGGACTTGTGGGCTTGGGCAGCACTGGGTTGGGATGTTTTATTGATGAGCACTTACCCTTTATATAAAACTCTCTTATACATATGAGTTTCTGTGGATTTGTTTCTCTAAAGTACCCAGACTAACATACTGACCATGTTTCTTGTTCAGGGGGTATAGAGAACAAGAATGGGTACAGAGAACAAGAATACTGTTCTTGTCACCAGCCAATAATGTGCACTTGTGCCGCCAGGCCATTGTATTGATGTAACGCTGCTTACAGAAGCTGAAGATGGCAAGGCATGCCAGCCAGCTGAAAAACCCATCCATTTGCCCCTCTCTGTCTGCTTCTTGCCCCGGTGGGTGAGCATCCTGAAAGCTTGGGGTTCTGTGATTATCACCTATATCTGTTCCACTTGGGCTCTCATGTCTTCGTTGTAGCTACATAATGCTATACACCATGTCTGTTACATTGTTGGAAGTCGGCCTGTTCTAGTACTTTCAAATCATTCATTTGTTGATTTCAAAAACATCCTAAATCTTATTCTTAGGTTTACTATGTGCCTATACATACATATATATGCTTAAAGCAAAATCTCTGACAAATTATGCTGTACAGCATCTCTGATTTGTCACCCAATCCTTACCTTCAGAAACATCAGCATCTCGAGAGCACAGATTTTTCCTGTTTGTGTGCACTGATGGAGCCCCAGGGACAGTGATGTGTGGCACTTGGTAGGGCTCAATCATAGGTGTGAACTGAAGGAAGGCCCGTGCGTGTTGGAAAAGCAAGGCCGGGGTTTTGTCAGCCCGCTCACACTTCCTGCCATCTCTGCAGATAAGCTCGACTTGTCCTGCTGTCACTGTGCTTCCGGATTTTGACTCTAGAAGAGGAATTGTATTTTGCTTTAAACAGAAATAAATGCGAAAATATTATCAAAGGCCTCACGTCAAAAGAAAGGGACAAAACCCTCCTCCAGCCTGTTATTTATCTTAATCTTCTTTTGAGTGAGTCTTTGTGGTCCTCAGTCCCTTAAGCACCTCCTAAGGATGAACTAGATCGGATCCAGAGAGATGAAAGGCAGCCAAAGCCTCAGATTAAAAACCAGCGAACTCCCAAAGAATGGCACTGGGCTACAGTGTGCACAGGCAGGAAAGTGCGAGTCACTCTCGATAAACTGCACATTTACTTACTTCGTGGGTCTTACCTGGGCTTTTCCCCATCTTTTTCCCTCTCTTGTTTTTCCTCCTTCTTTTCCCTTGCACTCCCTTAGTTTCTCCTTCCCGCCCTGCCTTCCTGAGTTTTGTAAGAAGCGTCCTTGTTGGTCAAGGTCTATCTTCCACAGACAAGTGACAGTGGATGACTTTTCCTGTACTTTACTTACAGGAAAAGAAACAACTTTCTAAAGGCTGATGTCGGAATGTGTTTCATTGAAACAGCTCATAGGGATGGTAAACATTCACCTAAATCTTTCTTTCTTCTCTTCTGTAACCACAGCTCCAACTCCTGAACGCTAAGAATTGTTTGTTCTAACACATATTATCTCATCTTAATCTGCATCATCACTCTATCACATATATGGGGCAAATGATAATAGTTACCATTTTTGGATGAAAAAACTAGACGACTAGCCCGAGATCCCAGTCCTGTTGAGGTCATTGGGATTTCAGATGTAGCAGTCTTTTCAGGGGTCTTCTCTGTAAGCCTGGAATCATCAGCAGAGAAAGCATTTAAATAGATTGTGTATAGCCCATCAGATCAATGCATTTTAGAACTTCAAGAGAAAAGGATAAATTGAGTTTTCTAGGGCCATGAAGTAAGAAAAAAATGTGGCAGTCCGTCTCCATAAAGATTTACAGCCTTGAAAACTCTATGAACAATTCTATTCTATGCTCTGGGATCAAAACAGCTCAGATTCAACCCAACAGTAGTGCGTTTGTTTTTTATTTGGGGGAGAGGGGTGAACACAGAGTCATAAAATTAAGTTAATCATCATACTTATTCCTCGCCCCCCCCCTCTCTGGAAAATAACAACAGCATATCCTTAATTGAGCTATTTGGTAATAACCTTAGTACTGACCACACCCACTAGGGTTAAGACCATTCAGATCCTTTGACATCTGCAGGAGTGCTGGTATATTTTATGGCTTTCGCAACAATGCTTCACTGGGCCGTATGCCACTCAGCTATTACTAAGCTGCCCTAATATTAATTAAAAATCCCTCTAGGGGTGTGTGAACCAGAGACACCAAAATTCGTGCCACCCAAGGAAATAAAATTTTGTTGCCACCACATAGAAAAACTCTTGCATTTTCCTTGGATTTTATTTCAGCAAAATACATGTTGAAAAATCACATCTGATTTTTATTGAAATTTCCTAGGCAGTTAGATGTGGGTATGAACTAGGGGGTGTGTTTTCTTTGAATTCTGCAGCCTTTCTACTCTGTCTCTATGCTCGTTTTCTTTCCTTACCCATATGTTTTGGGGCTGTATTAATGAAAAATGTGGGACCCCTGGGCTGGGGGGATTAGACATGAGGGAACTTGTTATTTGTGTAGGGAGGGGGTGTGTCCTTTCTGCTTCTTCTTTCTTTTGTATCATCCATGTCTCAGGACCAATTCAGCAGAGAGTAAGAGCAGATCACAAATGACTTCTGTGTTAGCAACAATAGGCTTTCTTTGCTGTGAATTAAATTTTTATATTTTGTAAAACTGACCAGACTTATGTCATTCATTTATGTAAGACTGAACATAAATTGTTATGCCTCAAAAACCAAATTTCAATAGTTAGATACAATTTATTTCTTCCTTCTCGTACAAGCATTGTGTTAAAATGGTAGAAACTGCTAGCAGAGTGCATGCAAGACGGCGAGCAGGACTGTGCTGGGTCTGGAAAGGCGGAGGTGGACCCCTCACTTAATGTCCAGTGTCCTTTGTCTTACAATTTGGTGCGATAAATCTTTCAGAGACTAGTAGAGACTTGTTTATTAAAATGCTGAAAAAAGTTATTTCTAAGTTCTGTGAATACAAAACATTGAAAATCCTTTCTGTGCTGAAATGCTGAGATTTAAAAAAGAAAAAAAACCAGTTGTTTTTAGAGGGCTAAGTTTTTGTAAAATTCTTGTGGTTGCTCCAGGAACGCCTGCTCTTTCCCCCTATTTTTGGCATTCTTAGTTCTGTTGTAGGTTATTTGAAAATGAGAGTAAGGAATCGGAACCATTGTTCTGATTCTTTACTAAAATCTCACTCACATGAAGCCTTGACTATTGCATGCCCGAATAACCTCTCAAAGAGAACCGTGTCTGCTCATCTATGGGGGGCACAGGACATGTCTTTGCCAAGATCAACCCCTTGGTTTCCAGACGTCAGTGAGTATGTGTGATGCTTCCACGACTCAGAATCAGCTCCCTTTCCACGGAGAGGTTAGCCTGAACATCGTGTCCATCCCTCCTGAGAGAAAGGGCAAGAGATAGAACTCAGCCAGCCTTCAGCCTTTCCCAAGAGGCAATGGGGAGGAATTACATTACATGGTGAGGGCTGACAAAATGTCTCTCTTCCAGGGTCTGAAAAGAGCGATTGTGGTTCAGTGGTAGAATACAGTGAACCCTCGCCACTTAGCGCTTTGACTTCCGTGGCTTCACTCTATCGCGGTTTTTGTGTAACAGCACATGCTCTGTCATTACTGCCACTGATTGGCTCATACTGTACATGCTTGATGCCATAAATAATATAATATATAATAAATGATAATTGTAACGTCCAAAATGTTTTACTGTATTTTCCCTTTTTCGTTTAATAAATTGAGTAATACGAGTGTAATGGTGACTAAAGGGTGTTTTTTCATGTCCTCTATGCTCTAACTACGAAAATATTTGATTTACAAATAAGGAATCCTACTTCGCGGAATTTCATTTATCACGGTAGGTTCTAGAACCGATTAACCACGATAAACGAGGGTTCACTGTACTGCCTTCCCTGCAACAGATGTGGGTATGACGCTCAGCCAATGCATGTCAAGCACAGCGACCACCTGCCAATGTAGGTGTGTGTGTCCCAGAGATGCTGAACAGGTTTCGGTGGTGCTTCCAGACTAAGATGGACTAGGAAGAGAAGCCTGACAGTTTACTTTTGTTAAAGCAGACCACTGACCCCAGGGATCACCAGAGTCTGGGCCTCACCTCAGCCTGGAAATAGCAGGACTGACAGAGCTTTGCGCTGTTGTCCCTGGAGTCTGTCATGTCTCTGCTATCACCAGGAGTTAAGGGCCAATTAGATGTCGGCTAACAACCAGCACTGAGTGTTTCTTTCAGTCTGTCAGTCATCTCATTTGTTTTGTTTTGTTGGTTTGTTTTGCTTTGTTGTTGTTGTTGTTGTTGTTGTTTAATCTACCCAGCTGCAAAGTCTACAAACAGCAAAAAGCGTCCAGATGGTGGGGGCATTCAGGATGAACAGTTATCTGCTCATGCCGTACTGGGGTCTGGGTCAGAGTGAGATCAATACACTTACATTTATTCTTTTCCTCTGTGAATGTTTTTAACAAAGCGTTTAGCTCACTGCTTGGCCTTGAACTCTTCAAACACAAGTTCTCACTTCTGAGTCATCTCCATAGGTCCCCTTATGTCTTCAGCTCCTGCCACTTGTCTTCCCACCTGGTCAAATCATTATCACTTTTGCTATTCTGAAGAACCAAAGTCTGTCAGGCCAGTCCTCCCCTTGCTGTTCGCGCTTCCCCCACTGTTGTCATTCCTATTGTTTTCCGGACTGCCCCTTTGGGTCTCCCTTTGTTGTTTACAGAGGTTTCCATGGCCATCTTGATTACGGGCCTCTTCCACCTCTCTGCGCTTGGCTCAGAGCTGATTTGAGATACTAATTTCCTTGTATTTTGTCTTTACCAGACTCCCTGCCACCCCACCCCAGATTTATTCCTTGGCTCCTCTGTCACATACGGGAACTGGGGCCTAGGCTGACCTCACTCCCCTGCTCCCCAAAGCCAATGTGGCTGCAAGAACTGGCTTATAAAATGCTGGTCAACCAATATGCCATCATCTAGTGTCATCCCTTGATTTAAAACAAATCGGCATTTCAGGCTATTTGCTGTCTCGTGAATTCCAGATTGGCTGTCTCACCGAAGAGGGTCTCTTCTGGCCAGTGGGGAAAAAGAAGCAATGAATGGCTAAGCCCAAAGTCTGTCATGTTAGAGCTCTAGAGATGTTGGTGAATAAATGCCAGACACTGAGTTCTCTTGGGACCTGATTCTCTCTGGGCAGCATAGCCAAAGGCAGAACAGTGATTCCTTTATTGCATAAACTCACTTGTTCCTGCCCTACCCTCCCTTCTCAGGGTACCCTTTAAAGACACTGTGTAGCATTTTCACCACATGACACAAAACCATCTTCATCGGGGAGTTCCCTTCCCTAATTGAGCAGCCACCACAAGGTAAACCAGGGACATTTCTGTGACCCCTCTATGTTAGGTAGACTTTTGATAACAACATTTGACTTCTTCCATGTACATCCTTAAAATGGGAAGTATTACTCTTTAGGCCTTTGAGAGAGTCTGTGGAAGGGTCCCCTGGGATAAGTTGATACTCAGTATATGAGTTTCAGACTAAGCATGCTTAGATAACAAATGAGGGTAGGGAGTCTAATGGGAAGAAAGCCTCCACAGAATTTGGAGGGATTTCAATTTTTGAAGGAGAAATACCCTGTTTCGTCTCTGGTTTAAATTTACATTTACTGCTAAAGGTCACATGATGCAACAAGTCATGCGGGCAGTCTCCACGGCGCCCAGAGGACAGGGCTTCTTCGCTATGAAGTGATGTCCAGGCAGGATGCCCTTTAGAAGTTTGTGGTTTCCACAGCAAGAGACTGAATTGTGTTGCTGTCTCTAATTCCAGCTTATAAAAGCATGCAAGAAGATTATCCAAATCCTACAGAGTTCAGTAACTATATTGAAGACAGATTTGCTTTGAACATCAGTAGCCAAAATGATTGCAAAAATAAGAGAAGACAGAGGTGGAACGGAACCAGAATTTCTATCGACAAATTATCTGCCTTCAAAATTGAACCGTTTTTGTGAGATGGTGCCACACTCCCAAGATTTCTGATTTTGTCCTCAGCAGATAGCCTTTGACGATGTTGGCAAAGGACAAAGATCAAAACACGAATAACCTGAAAATGACAAACAAGAGCAGATGCCCCCTTACTCTAGAAGCCGTTCTCCCATTGTCATTCTCTGACATTTTAATTCGCGTTTCAGTGTACTCTTTAATGATCAAATAGCATCGATTACAGTTCTAATGAACATATTCCTTCACGCAGCAGTTGTACCTCTAAAGATTTGTACTGTGAACATATTTATTCATTAGTGAGATGACGTAACTTTGATGATATCCACTTTATTGGTTGCCACCCAGTTGGCTCCAGCTCATGGAGACATTCTGAATAACAGCAAAGCACTGTCCTCCCACAGGTGCTGGCAGGAGATGGATATTTAATCTATTTTGATGTATCTATTCAAGGCACTAACCAAAAGTCTAAGAAGATTGCAAAGTTCATTGTGTATTAGTATGTAATGATCTCTAAGCGATAGCGTTAAATTTTTCACAATCAATAGAACATTTAGTATAGTGCCATTGTGTTAAGCAGGCTTGAGATAAGAAAAGTAGGAAGGTGGGGGATAAAGGAAAGGAAGAAGGGGAGGAAAATGATCCCAAAGCAGAGAAAGAGGGGAAGGGAAGGAAGGCAGGAATGTGTGAAGGAGAGGCCAGGGAAGAGAAGGAAGGAAGAACAAGGAACATTTACTTGTGTGACTTTGTACGCATTCAATATCTTGGAAGCATTGCCTCTGGGGATAGCAAGTAGAACCAGGGACCCTTTGTATCTATCTAATATTGTGAGGGTGTCTGTAACGTGTCCATAAGTCCGCTCTACTCTCAACGTGAGAGCGTTGCCACATTTCTGTTTCCCACTGAGAAGTCAGGAATGGCCAGTAGCGTTTAGTCTAATGCCATGTAAACCCTGAATGTGGGAAAGGCAGTTTTTTTCTTTTATCTTGGTGATTACTCCGTCATTTTACTTATTTTTTTGGAGGATTGGGATGCCTGTGTTTTTTAAAAGCACCTTCAAATATCCAGCCCTTCTAACTGTCTGTGTGTGTAAGTGTAGTGACCGCAATCAATTCAACAAGATATTAATGAACTGAAGAAATAAGATTTCAAAGAAGTGAAAGGAAATTAGTGGTTCATAGATTCTCAGAAGAGGCAATAATGAGGGAAGCAGTCAGAAAATAAGTCGCTGTAGCTGCTTCTATCCCACCAGCCCCCAACAACGGAAAGTGAACTCTGTCTGCTCCCACTGCAGAACCCCGAAATAGAGTTGTTCAGAGTCTGAATCGACTTGGTGGCAGTAGAGTTTAGGCTTTGGGGCAGGATGTCATGCAGGGGCTCTGATGGAGCAGTGGCTGAGCACTCAGCTGTCAACTGAAAAGGCTGGTGGTTCAAAACCACTCAGTGGCTCCACAGGAGAAAATGTTGACAGTCAGCCTCGGAAACCCTATCGAGCCACTCTGCTCTGTAACATGGGGTCACGGAGTCTACAGCAACTCCACGGCAATTACCAACAACAACAGTAATGTCCTGCAGCGGGTGCTGTATCGATTTATGCGTCCCAGGCACTGTGCGTTGGAAGGGCTGGACTTGTGCATATGAATGCCCATGCTCTTAATTCATGGCACAGGATAGCACATCTAAGACAATTAATTAAGGACTATTGCATGCATAACAGTCAGCCGCCAAACAATATTAAACATAGGCTGCCCATAAAGAGATGTAATGCTCTGTAAAACGAGACACCAGAGTTAGTAAATATCTGCAGTATTTCTGCATTTTTATCAAGGCATCCACACATTTCTTACAAGTTGTCTAGATAAATTGCTTCTTAGAATTATAGCAAAGTTCAT